TTTTTTTTTTTAAACTATGGAAGTACCTAAACATTTGAGTGTGTATAGATACATGTACCACATATATAAACATATGTGCATCGTATTCCACGCACCACTTGTGGTTTAAAAACTCATGTGCCTCTCATGAATCTAATAGGTATTTCTGTTTTGTCTTAAATTCCTCAGATGAGCAAGAAAATAAGCCAAGTTCTTCTTCACGCAGGCTACAGGTTGCAAAAATGTTCCTTTGTGTCTTGAGGGCCCAACTCCTGAACCACCGGTCGCTGTTCCCCTCGGCAGGAGCAGATAAACCACGGGGTTTAGGGTACAAATCCGAAAATTGAGGCAATACCAGGTTGCCAGTTCGAAACAGTTAGACCCCATTCCAAAGTGCGTTGCGCTGTTAAATGGAAAATAAAGAACACCACAGATGCTTCTAATAATTCCAGTTTCGAGTCAATTTTCCCTCCTTTGTCTTAAAGAGCTTTTGATGTGTAGTCACAATATTGTCTCTCTCTCTCTGTTTTTAATAATTTTATATTACCTCAGCAATATAACTGTCCTGAAATATACTGAACTTTAATCTTTAAGAGATCAAACAGGAAGAAATATGATGGGATAGAGAGTGACTGACTCGGGGGCAATATTCTCTCCTCCTATAAAAGACAGCCCACAGCAAGATAAAAATTGCCTCTCGGATTCCACGAACCATCACATCTTGAAGAGAGGCTTTCAGGCCCACGGGGAGAGCAGCCGTGGGGCCACAAAAACCCCACAGCCCCTGAGGATGCAGCCAAAAGCAAGCACGCTCTCACAGAGCTCGAGGATGTGGTTTGGGTGACTACATGCTTTAGGATCGGTCCCAGCACCCTCAGACCTCCTCAGTTTAGCCGTGCTCTGCCGAGTCCAACAGCCGAGAATCGTTTGGCTACTGTCTTTTCACTGGAATAAATGCGCTGGCTCTGGCTCAAGCCAAAGAAATGTCTGGGACAAAGGTGCACGTTTACGTAGCACGAAGACGTTGTGGTATCTAGGGAAGGGAATTGAGGAATCAGTACGCAGATCTTACGGACACAAAGGAGGTGCTCTTCCAAAATGCAGCTGGTGCTGCCTCTCTAAAAGACGTTTGGTCTCCATCAGCTTCCTCAGATTTCCACCGAGGTTCTCCAGCAGAACCAGAGGTGAAATTCAGCTGAGCACGGCCGCTCGTTCAGTTCCCCAACCATAGGGAACCAGCTCACGAGACCTGACCACAGAACGATGAATTCATATTCTACGGAAATACCGCTTAAAATATTGTAACATACAGTAAAGATGCTGTCATTTTTTCAGGCAAATAAAAAAATTGACCTTTTTTGGTTTATTGTAGTACTTTGGAACAAAAGTCAGGTTTTGAACAAAATCGTTCTTTTGCACAAATGTGTTAACGTCTCTTTTTGCTGGTTTGGGAACCTGCTGTGTAACAAACTGTGCGTGCATCAGAACCGCTTGTGAACTCGTGCTGCAAGACCAAATTTCTCACAGGTACAGACTGAAGGTTCAGGGTTTCATCAAGCTCGTTAAAACTCCTAAGGACTCTCCAGAAGGCAGAAAGCCTGATGCAGCCACCACTAAAATCAGTGCAAAGACTCCGTGGATTTCGGTGAATTTTATCCCAAGCCATGAGGAACAATGAGGTTGGTGGTTTTTTTTTTTCAAAACTGGCCTTCCTATGCGATTACCATCTTTGCCACATGTAGACACCCCTCCCCGCCTGCTTGCAGCTTTATCGTGTTCATGTATTTCTAATTAATATATATCCGTTAACCAGTTATTGTATGTTATGCTGGCACGGGGAGGGCGGGTGATAAAGTCAGAGCTACCTTAGTGCTTTGACGTACCCAACCCCTGGTGTGACCTGGTGTGCGAGGCCGCAGGGTGGCTTAGCCCATCACCCTCTTCCCACCAGCACTACCCAGTCCCGGCTACGTTCTCTCTTCTAGTCTGAGCCTACCTTGACCAAGCCAGGCTTAAGGGTATGAAACAGAAGAAGATAGGAATCCTTTGGTCAAATGACTCCAGGAGGAGGCAAAGACAACGCTCAGACATATTGAAAAGAGTGACTCCTGCCATGGAGCCAAACGCCTTCTGATAAATATGGAAACTGGAGCCAAGAGATGCTGAAGGTACTCGTCCCACAGAATGGGTCCTCAGGGAACAGCGTGTGTTTGTACTTGAGAGAGTTTTTGTGTCACCTGCTGGACCATCAGGAATGTTTTGAGTTAGGTGGACGTTTTAAAGTCCTCCTGGAGAAGGCAGGTTACAGAACAGTATTGGAACAACGAGCAAATCTAACAGAGTATTTCCAAGCCTGCAGTCTTCTTGGATATTCTTAGTCATGCAAAGCAAGTAATAGATTTCTTTCTGATAATTTCTCATGCTCTGGATAAACATATGTTGGTATTTTTGAGTCTTCCAGCCCAGATTTCTGGACAAGTACTTCTCTGCTTTACCTTCTGCTTTCAATCCAGAGAACGCAGGACCCCACTACAATCACTCCTCTGTGGGAACAAAGGATACAAACATCCATTTCGGTCTCTGCATTTTGGTCTTTAAATCAGCAGATATTTATTCTCTTTCACAGAAATATAAGCTAACCTGGAGAGAATGAGGTTCTCCAGATCGAGGGCTTACTAACCAGTGTTTATTCAGTTTTATTTCCAATCCTCTAGAGCTTCTCAATCCATTACTGCATTTCCAACAGTCCTGGCTGTCCTATCTCTTTGAAGGAAGAAGGGATGATGATTCTAGCATATAGCATTAGGAATCTGGAAAAGTCCCTCTTCCTTCGTTTGCCACAAAATCGGCTTTCATCTGTATGTCTGCATTCCCTCCTGAGGAGTAATTCCTTAATTTCTGACAACACGTATTTTCCGCATTATCTAATTGGTTTTTAGAAGATTTTCCCCCTCTAATCTCTCCCCGATGGATTCCTGCCTCTCTGCGTTCCCGTTGCTCCCTGTGCACGGGTCGTGAGCCAGGCTGTGATTTCAGCCTCACAGTTCACAAACTTCACCCGCAGAGAGAGGGAGCGGAGGGCAAGAAGAGGTGTCCGCCAGAGTTTTCAGGTGTATTGTTCAGTCCTGGTTTACATCTGTGAGTCTAAAAATATTTTAACCTTAAGGACCCGGCTTACTTTGAAATAAAGGAAACCCCCTAAATTGAGCTGGGAGCCGGCTCGCGCTGTAGCTCCTGGTTTTTTAACAGAAAACCACAAAGTGTGTCGGGGACTATTTTACAACTCCCGTTGCTGCTCCAGTAAGCATTAGGTAACTGCTTTGCTATCAGGGCGATTAAAGCTGAGCGCGCACATTCACAGCTAAGCTTACCTGCGCGAGGCGGCCGTCCCACGGGAGCTCAGCGCGTGCAGTCCTGGTGCGAGGCAGGTTTGACTCGAGCGCGGCTCACGCGCGTCTGTACAGAACTGAACCGAATGACGGCATCATGCCTAATGCGTTCAGATTGGACCCGACGGGACGCGCATGGCTTGTCATCCCGACTGGCAGAGACCATCTCGTGAGCTGGTTCCATGGCTGTCTTTTCCAGGCTGCGTAGACAAAAGGAGAACCTCCTGAAGAACCTTCCATTTTCTTCACACGTTCACTCACTGAAGGCTGTTGCTTGACAGCGATGAGCAAACACTTTGATATCATTGATCACGATATCTCAATTTTTCAGTTTTGCGCAAATGTCTGTGTGTCAACTGTGGCGCAGAGACTCTCCTTTCTCCATTGACTTCACCTCCAGCGTCGTCTTCACTGCAGATTTTGCAGTAACAGCAAAACCTAAGGACCACAGACGTGTTTGGCTGCATAGAGTTTCTTCTGTTTCTCAAACCAAGATACTTATGAAGTGGCAAACTGTCTTTAAATTGCCACTGTTGAAATTTCAAGCCCTTAATGGTACAGGCTAAGAAATCCCATAGGAAAAATGGGATCTTCTTCCTTCTCAGTGCATTTGATGCAAAAGAATTGTGTGCACCGATGCAACCACTCAAAAAAGCAGGCAGGAGAAGATGGGAGAAAGGATGGATCAAGAATGACAATACAAGATGCCAAGCGAGCGCTGCAAAGCTGTGTACGTGTCTAAGTGAGAAAGAGCAATTCCCCAGCCTCTGCTTGTGTTAACAGCTACGGCTCAGAGAAAAAACATCTCATCCGGTCCTGCAAAACACCTCTGCTCAACAGGGATTTTTTAGCATTTGAGTCCAATAACCTGACGCAGATATCGGAGCTAATAAGATTAATTATTGCCCGAATCTTCAGCCAAAACTAAATCTTAGCTAACATGTAACATATTGTCATTACCGATCCAGACGCAAATTCAACCCACACGGAAGCTGACATCTCAGGTTCATAAAGTATCTCAGAAGTCACAGAAGTCCTCGCTACATCACTACAGGTCGTTCGCAATCCACGAGTACGGTTTCGCGCCTGTGCAAGGGAGAGGAAGCTTGACCGCTCTGGATGCTGCAGCAGCACAACGTACCATGAAAATTCATACGACGCAGCAGGACATAAAACTTTAAAAGATATTATTTGCAAAACTCTCGTGTCCCATTCAAGTGAGCATTTCAGCAGACTCCCTACCTGAGCCGAGTGAGCAGATTTTAGTGCTCTTTAATTATGAAACTTTTCAAATATCTTACATCAAGATGGAGGAAATACCGATATGTTTATGTTAAAACAATGTTTTAATAAACAGCAGCATAAAATAATCAGTGTTTAATATCATCTCTGGCATGTGAAATACAAAAATGCACATATCTTAATTATAAAATAGCCTTTGTTATTACATTTTCATGCTTGCCTAATTGAAATGCCCATAATTAATAAATCAATCATCAAGTAATACAGTGATTAAACGCATGCAGTGAAAACAAAGAAAAATATTTGTATAAGGTAGTGGCTGAATATCACCATAATATATTTCAAGAACATCTACATCAGGTTAAAAATAAAAAGAAACAGACCAAGATATAAAATGCAGAGATGTATTTTCACTTCTGCTGTACAAAACATTATCACACTTCTGTGCAAAAAGATAAAAATAAAGTCATATTATACAACATTGTCAACCGAGCAAAAAGATTGTTTTCGTTCCGTGTACAATAAAAATACTCTTCAGTACAAAAACGAGCCTGTGAAAAACCGTCACGTACACAGCACTTTTGTAACTCAGTAAAGTGGTTTCAAATGAATAGCCTAGATTGCTTATACCTGAATGAATTTTTAGTAATTACACAAATGTCGTACTTCTAAGTCGAAAGTTAACACTAATTCACATTATTAGAAGCGACAGACAGAACTGCTGTCAATGGATTTGCTGCGTGGTGGAATGTGAGTTCCCCTTTTGTCAGGGTTACTGGAGTCAGAGTCACTGAAATCACACATTGATCTGAAACAATAAATATTCCCGGGAAAACTGATTGTCATATATCAAATCGTGGTTTGGAGCCTTTCCATTAAACAGTTGCATAGCAACAAAAGGATATAAAATTTCTGCTTTCACTACTAGATTAGGAAATGTTATCTTTGAATGAGTTGATTCAGGTTCTGAAATTAAAACACTTTAATTTCATTTCCTTTAAGGCAATTTCTTAGAACTCCAGCCGTCTTTAGCAGCCAATAGCAGGTGATTGTTGTAGACTGCAAGTTGATAACTCAAGCTATCGTGCTGTCAGATAAATGACTTTTTTTTTGTCTGAATCTGAACTCAGACTCCCAACTTAACGAAAGACCAAAATCCTACCTGAAGTAATTTATTCAGCTTTCAGATCACATATTTGAAACATAATCCTTGACTGCAAAATTTACAAATATTTTAACTATCTATTGGAACTGAAATTGCACACCCAGCAGATCTCCGAATATTTGCATCTCCTAAAAAAGAGACAAATATTAAAATATGTTTTCAGTATAAAAAAGTTTCTGCGATTTAAGCCACAACAGAGGTTTAAAAAGCTGTGAAAAAAGCGTATGATAAAATGTTTTTATTTAAAAAAAAAAAAAAAATCCCCCTTCCCCTTTTTGAATTGTCGGTGGCACTTAAAGAAAGAACGCGTCCGTTGCCAAAGGTGAGTATTCATACCACAATGATCTTTGTCTGGTTGAGTCTGCCCATCCTGTTAAGCAGTTAAACTTCACAGAAGATACTTGCTGCAATGTCTGTTAAACAACCAGAAGAATCTTTAATAAAATATTTGAATATAAATCTTTTCTACCACTTTCTAGTTTGTATTGTAAATAGTTATATTTACAAAGGCCTTGCTTATTTACAATTCAGCTGAAATCATAGATTCATTAGGTCCATGGATGCTGGAGTCTCCTAGTAGGGAAGACTGCTTTGAGTCAATTTTGTACGGTTTTTGAGTTTTATTTCCAAAAACTGTGATACCGATTCCCCCCGGATGACTAGGAATTGACATATGAGATAGCAAAGGAATATTCGCTTCCTGGTTGGATCCCGAAGATGGCAAACTAGTGACGTGACCTGTGCTAGTCGACCCACTGGCGCTGCTCGGAGAACGACTCTTTGGAGGAGGACAGTGCTGGATTACCCTGGGTGGACCTTGGGGTTGATAGTGGGCAGCTGGGAAAGCAGCATATCCTGGTGGAATCGGGTACCCGTTGATGGGGATGTATCGCTGGTTTTGAGGTATTGGTGGTCCGATGAACCCGGCGATTTGGCCTTGTGGTATACCTTGTGCTGGAAACATGTAGTTGGGGTACCTAGGATTACTGAGATTACTAACCGGACTCGCGCTGAGGGAAGTCGTTTGAGTGGTGGCATTCCCACCGGAGGGGGTAGTAGAACTAGTGTGACTGGAAAGACCCTCCCACGAGCGCAGCCTGGCGTGGATTTCTTTAAATCGTGGCCTCCGGGATGGCAGATCATGCCAGCACTCTGTCATCAGGCTATACATTCTGGGAGGACAGTCTTCAGAGCATGGCAGCAGTTGTCTTTTCCTGATCATCTCTATGACTTCTTGATTACTAAATCCGTAATACGGTTGAAGTCCAAAGCTGAAGATTTCCCATAAAACAACTCCAAATGACCAAATATCGGAATCTGAAGAGAACTTGCCGTACATAATTGCCTCTGGTGGCATCCAGCGAATTGGCAGGAGAGATTTGTTTTGAACTCTGTAATAATCTGCTGAGTAGATTTCTCTCGAGAGTCCAAGGTCTGAAATTTTCACATGAAGTTGTTCTCCTATTAAAATGTTACGAGCGGCGAGATCTTTATGGACAAAAAAATGACTCGCTAAGTACTCCATCCCTGCTGCAATCTGGACCGCAATATGCAGGAAATCCCCATGGTCCAGGCTGGATTTTACAGTCCCATCCTCATCGCTGCTGCATCCAACATCTGAATGCGGCGATCGCATGATGAGAAACTCGTGGAGGTCTCCTTGGTTCATGTACTCGAAAAGCATGCAGACAGGTTGTTCCTGGGTCACAACGCCCAAGAGGCAAACGATGTTCGGGTGATGGAGCTCGGCCATGAGAGATGCTTCTTGCTGGAACTCTGCCCACTGCTGGGGGTTGTTGAAGTCTTTCAGTGTCTTGATAGCAACGAGCTGAGCGTGATCCATGCCTGGAAGGTAGAGGTGTCCCTTGTAGATCTTGCCGAAAGCACATTCACCCAGTTCTTCCATGAAACGAACAGCCGACAGGGGCAGCTCCTTAGCTTTACTCTGTTAACGAAACGACAGCAAAAACATGTCAGAAAAACAGGACGGAAAACATATTTTTAAGTAAAAGACCTTTTGGCAGAGGAGGTCTGAAAGCCAAGCAGACCGACAGAGGAACTCCTTGGGACACAGATCCGTTTGGAGACGATCCTGAGACGCGGCACTGGTGTGACGGCATCAGGCCCCATCACAGCCTGTGTGACACCAGTATCACCAGTATCCCCGCATCAGCAAAGCTCAGGGCTGAGTGCCGCCTCATCTCTGTGCACCGTGCTCCAAAACTAAATTCAGAATTACTTTTTACCCTCTACACAAGACCAGATAAAAGTAGTAAGTATTAGATCTAAATATATGCAGGAACTGTCAGCATTTCAGCAAAGGCGTTTCTATACGTGGGCTTGGGCATTTATATATTTAAAATTGAATCTGACTAATTTCAGGAATTGAGGCAATTCACATACTTTAAGTAAGCACATGCTGAAGCGTTTTCTGGGCCAGGGCTGAAAGTTTTTAGCAGAAAAGTGGGGTTTTTTTAAGAACTACGTCTTTGTAGCAAATTCTTCCTGGACTTTGCGATTAACCCTTCAATGTAGAGACTATTTCTGCTCACGCTTGACTGAATGTTCGGTCCTGAAACATGCAGGACAGAGGCAGCTGGAAAAATGAGATAACGGTCAAAGAAGAAAGGGAAACTTTTGCAAAACCCTGTTGTTATTCTGGGTGCGTGTATTCACTCTTAGGCCACAAAGAAGTTTTCAGACGGTAGCTTCCACGCGTGCTTGTAACACCTACAGCCAAACCCACTCATTTAGGGTCCTCAGTAGAGCCATAGGTAGCGATTTAAGGCTAATGAGTTTGGGATCTATGTTTTATAAATTAGTGTAAACATTAGCATTTGCATTCCTGAAATAA